CTGCATGGAGCACTGGGTGTTATATGCAAACAATGAATCATGGAACACTACATCAAAAACTAATAATGTAATGTATGGTGATTAACATAACATAATAATAAAAAAAATCTCAAACTGATTCAGTAAGCAAGGGTTTCCCTTTGCTTAGGGATTAAGTTAGATTTCTGTTGATAGGTTAAGTTAAAAAAATATATATCCTTTCCTCTCTACTTCTAGCAATTTCAGACTTCTCAAAAAATAATGATATTCAAACTGATCCTTCAACATGTATTGATGTCATATTTTACTAAGTTGATAAACTGAAACCATCAAGTTCTTTTCCTTTATTTAGTATTGATTTAACTCTTCACTGTCAACAGAAAGTCTCTAATAGCCTAAAGACATACAACCTTTTAGCACTCAAACAGCTGTAAGAACATAAAAGGAAAATAAGCAACAACGAAAGTATAATGGAAAGTAGTCAATATCATAAAGCTGAAAATGGAAATGCAAAGTATAACTGAAAGAAAGGAAAGGAGGAAACACGCTGTTATTTGTAAAGATAAGAAAATGTTCATTAACAAAAAGGGAAAAAGAATGCATTTTTTTTTTTGAGTATCTAATTAGTGTCAGGCACTGTACTGTGGAAGGTCTTTTATATCTATTAGCCCATATATCTATTACAAATATGCTTGAGATAGGTGTTATTATCCCCATTTTACAGTGGGATACAAACATTTAAGTAGCTTGTCCAAGGTCTTGCAGCTAGTAAGTTACAAAGTTCAAATTTGAACTTCTTAACCATATATCCATATTTCCTTAATGTATTCTGCAGGGAAGAAATAATTAAAAGGAAATCAATTTTTGAATAGCAGTTTTATCTTTTAGATATTAACTATCATAAACACAATGCCTACATACTACTTAGTTTATTTAAATCCCCAACATTTCATCACTGTTCAGTGAGAAAAAGAGTAGAAGCTGCCAAGAAGCTGGATTTTCAGTTTCTAAGTAAAGGCTTTGGTTAGTAGACTGAAGTTGTTTTGTTGTTTTTAATAAATATGTTTATTTGTTCCAAAGTGTAAAAATTATTCATATGTGTTACATTTGCTCATATAACAAATTATGCAAGAAGCCCATGATTTCAGGGAAAGTGTTCTTTTTGCTTTATTTTGCTCACCATTTTTCTCTTCCCTTTCTATAGGCATGTTCATATTTCACATCTCACGCTTTGCCATTGAAGATTACTTTCATCAATGCTAACCCAATGGGCAAAAACATCGGCGTCATTTTTAAGGTACAAAAACATCAAATTGATTTCACAGGTAGAATTATTGATTTATTTCTTGCAAAAAGAAATTATTATAGGTATTTTCCTCTGACAACCACACAGAGGATTCCAGTTATTTTTGATTCTGCATTTTTACAGAATTATAGTACATGTCAAACAATGATTGACAATAAATCAATCATTACTGGCTCAAGCTAGTGAACCTTCAGTTAAAAACTTAAGAAGATATGTTTCAATAAATGAAATTATACATTTTTGAGTAGCACAGAAAGTGGAATGTGTGGTGAACCCCTAGTGAGTTTTCTTTTGATTTAGATACTAAATTAAAATCAATATTAGCTAAAATTCAAATTATATGTTAATTTAACATAAAATTCTTATCTGCAGGCACTTGCTTACTTTAGTAATTTGGATTATTTTCTTATTTTCAAATAAATAGAGGCCAAGTCAGTCTTTATCATGAATCCCATAGGAAAGTAGAGTAAAATGTAGTTACAGGGGTATAGACAAGTAGGAAAGGGACCAAAGAAGAAGCTGTGAGTGAAAAGGAAGACTTTAGAGTCATTCAGTTAATTTAATCAAGTATTCAGCCAAACCAGATAATCAGGTCTCAGAGTGATTTATTTGGTGGATTTTGACTATTTTTGAGGATAATTTTTAGCACACCCATACTTTGGCTTTGACCTGTGTAACTTCAAGCATTAATGGTCACGAAACAGCACATTTTGGGTGAAGAAAAAAAAAATACCAAAAATTTCATCTTGGAATATTTTTCTGCATATAATTTAGAAAACATTTTCAAAACCAAACTGTTAGTTTAAAAGCAGAAAACTAACCTTCCCCTTTGGATATATTCCATTTCCTTCACCTATGCTAGAAAATTACCCCTTAATCATTTCTTATTATCAAAGGCTGTTTACTCTGAAAACTTTTTAACCACCTTCATAATATAAGAAGTCAATGATTTAAAGTCGGATGAATCCTATGTGTGCTATTTATACTCTTAGTCAAGAAGCTCTTGGTATTCTAACTGTATATCAGCATATAAATTTATGGCATACCAAATAATGTTTTAGTTAGAAAGAAATCTCTCTTGGCTGAGTTTAAAATTTGAATAAACATTCATCAAGCCTCTCTTCACTAGACTTTAAATCTAAGATATTGCACGTGGATGATAAATTAAAAGATTATTATCAGCGAACAACATTCCAAGCAACTTCTAATTTGATGGCTGAAGCTTCTGTAATCATTTAAAGGAAAGTTCTTATTTTCTTTAATCTTCTTTCAGAAACACAGGCGTTCTTAATACTAACAAAACAATTGAAACCATCCTAAGTGGGGCTGGAAATGTATTGGAGGAAAGAAATGACATATACCATATTTGAAGGCCTTTAATGGAATTCAAAGAGAAATCTAGAGTCTATAATTTTGTTTTTAACAGGCCGGAGATGATCTTCGTCAGGATATGCTTGTTCTGCAGATTATTCAAGTGATGGACAATATTTGGCTGCAGGAGGGCTTGGATATGCAAATGATCATTTATAGATGTTTATCCACAGGAAAAGGTCAAGGTCAGTATAGATTAGAAAGTGATTTGACTTACATTATTTATCTCAAACATTCACTGGTAACATGACACCAAACTTTCCACAGCTTTCATTTTAGACTATAAATTTTAAAGTCAAAAGAACAATACAAAGTCATTCTTCTTCCTTAAAGAGAATTATTTTCAAAAGTGGTAAGTCAAAGTAATTTAGAATGTCAAAGAATGTAATGTCTTTTTTGATATTAATTAGGATTTTGACAATCCAAATGTTAACTGTGGTATCTTTTTGTGTGTCTTTTGTATGTTTTTTCCCTTTTTTAAAGATAATAACAGAAAAGCTTATTCATTCAAAAAAATTCAATTGTTGCCTATTAACACAAAATTTACAAAGTTGCAAATGCTTAAATTAGTTCTGAACATTCTAAATATATTATAAATCTGCATTTAATTTCTAAAAGACCTTTAAATAAATCATAATATCAGTAGTCAAAGATGTCCAAACATGCAAATTTTGAACATACTTTTTTCTTTATAAAAGCCAAGATGTTAATATGGAAATATAATTACATTTATACACATTTTCAATGAAAGTAACGTCGGTGGTCCACCCAAATTATTACCATCACAAGTGAAAGTTGTACTTAATTACAATCATGCTGAATTGAAGAAATAATTCCCAAAATACTTTATAATCTTTTTTGAATGTGGTCACTGCCACTTAGAATTTCATTCAACTATTGGTAGGATAGCAAATACATCTGCATAAACAAAAGGATAAAAAAAATCATAGAACTAGAAAAGGGACCTAGAACCATGTAGTTGTTGTTGTTATTCAGGCAGGGCTACAATTTAAACCTAACAGAAAAACTATCATTGTCTGCCCCCCAGTTCCTGAGGTCCCACCACAAGCCTCAGTACCCCAGCCAACTGTGACTTGAAATTTTAGAAGCTAGGTATGGAAGTACCTCCGTGTTAGGTTAACTTGCAACCTGATACTTCAGGATGACTCTATTACAAGTCATACTACCCAATTATTTTGATTCTGATAATAGGACTCTTGCTTCCATGACAAGTATCCACCCCTAAACCCTTTCGAAAGCTCTATTTCCTAAAAGAGTCTTTATCATTTCTACTCAGATTGTTATTCCTTGCATTTACTCTCCTTTTTCTTACATAAAGTAACTTATTTCTTTCAAATCCTAATGTATTGAAAGAGTAAGAATAAAGTTAGATGAGCCAAACTGAACTTTTTGATGTCACATGGATTACCTTTTCTTCAGAGATTGAATACATCACTGACCTCAGTGGAATTCTTCAACTGCATGTACTCATTTCTCAGTTTCAAATTATATAATGTAACAGAGGCTAAATCTTTTAAAGTTAATAAAACGACTCAGCAAAAATGAATGTAGACTTACCCAAAATTGCAGATGTCATAAGACAAACAAGCTATTAATCCTCCTATCTACCAACAATCTTCTGTAGTTGTTAAGATTTGAAAGAGCATTATATTGGCAAAATACTTCTTCAAGAAAAATAGAAATCATTAAAGCAAACATCATGTTTAGAAGATCAGGTTCCATATTTAATATGCTTCCAAGGCTTATTGAATATCTATTATTTTCAAGAAATATCACAAAGTAAGGTAAGGAATACTAAAATGAGGTAAACAGAGTTGCTACCCATAAAGGAGAGTATATTCCAGGCCAGAAGTTTGCATGACTTTATCAACATTATTGTTGATTATAATTCTTATGACTAAGGGGGAGGAGAAAAGTGGCAGAGGAGTAGGAAACCTAAATTTCATATGGTCCCAGGAATTCAGCTAGATAGGGATCAAACCATTCTAAACAACTATGAATAGGATATCAAAGAAAAGAATAGCAGCAACTCTCAGAACAGAAAAGCGACCACTTTCTGGAAGGTAGGACGTGCGGAGAAGTGAATCCGAGGCGATACTTGGGAAGATAGATGGCCGGGGAGGGGTCCTCTGTCAGCTGCTTCTCGCAAGTGATAGAGCAGCAGAGGACAAAATCAGAACTTTTAGAAGTCTGCTCCACTGAAGGACGTCACTCCGTGGCTAAGCGGGGTGTGGAACCCTCACTGGGACAGTGTGGTCTCAGGACCCTCGGGGTCACAGAAAGACCGGGGGTGCCTGAGTGTGGCAGAACTCCCAGGTATCAGACCAGGGAAGCTGGCTGCAGAGACAGAGCCGAGGAGCGGGCTCTCAGCTTGGCGTTGCCATAAATTGTGATCCGCGGCACAGTCGGGCCACTGCTCTTCCAGCAGGGATCCAACAAGTGGCAGATCCAGGGAAACTCCCCTTCCTCCCCCTGGAGGGGTGGTGCAGGAGCACACCACAGGGATCTGCTGGGTTTGGAGACACCACATGGGGTCATGTGCCAGAGATACAAATGCTTGGTCGCACTCGGGTGAGCACGGAGTGCGGCCAGAGACTGGGGAGACGGGTGTGACTGGCTGCTTTTCTCTGGGGGCTCACGGAGAAGTGGAGCTCCGAGTTCTTGGCTCCTCGGGGCAGAGATTGGGAGGCCGCCATTTTCACTCTCGTCCTCCAAAGCTGTACTGAAAGCTTACAGGGAACAAAAGCTCCCGAGAGCAAACCCGAGCAGATTACTTAGCCTGGAATGGGCGAGGGTGGGGCAATTCTGCCTCCAGCAAAGACTTTTGGGAACCACGGCAACAGGCCCCTTCCCCAGAAGATCAGCAAGAACAGCCAGCCAAGACCAAGTTTACCGATCAATGAG